TATTTCGATTCAATCAATCAATCATTTTATCCTGAATTGGTTCCGCTTGATCTCATTCGTCCTGAATGCATACTAGTCCATACGCTTTTAGCAAGTGCTGATAAGAGATTACCATGGCATACGGCAGAAACGGAAATGGAAATGTCAAAGTTTAACTGTGAAAGTTTAACTTACGTCGGATACCTTGCTCGTTGCTGGGCTTAGCGAGCCAGAGTTAGTGTCAGACCCCGAGATTCTTGACCGGATTGAACGGCTTGACGAGCTTTTTGATCTGCTACTATGTAATTTCGGCCTACTGGCACGTGGCTTAGTGCGACTTCGGAAAAGTCTAGGATCGTTGGCCATTTCGGGACTATCTTCGTTCGTTGGACAGCTATTGAGAGTAGACAGTAAGATAATATAGAAAAGGGCGGAAAGCTCTGGGATGCCTTTTTATAAAGGTTTAGGTGGGGCCTAGGACAGCAAGTGTGAAATATTGTGAAACGCAGTATATTGTCCGTAGAGATGATTTTGATGGTACTAACATCAATATTATGAGTGAGCCTACGGATTAGGCTCTGCGGGGCGTAAGTGGAGGTACAGAAAATTAAAATGATCGTTGTTTAGTTGTGGAGGATACATATGATAGCCCACCAGTATAGAAGTTTTAATTATAATCTACTACTACGTGCTCCTACTCTATAATCTGCCTTGAATGTTCTGAATTAAAACGCCTCACTTTGAGACTAGATCTATTGCTTGGCTTTCTTCAACCAGTAATCTTCCTCGGTGACAAGGCTAGGTCGATATGGCCTTTGAAACATATGTAGACCCAAGGGAGCGCGAATACAGTTTGAAGCCACTATGAAACCATCACTGTTATCTTTAAAGCTAAGCTAAGAAAGTTGATATGAAGGCGCAACTAAACTAGTTTCCTCAGCAACTATAAACGGATATTCTACCTATGGATATCTGGTCTGCAGGGCCCCAGAACCTTATAATGACTTTCTCACTAAGTACAATGGACCGATAGGGGCAGTTAATTATTGAATTGTGAGGTACTACGGTGTAGGTTTTGGGATAAGATTGCTTGGCATGACTAATAGGCCATTGTCTAAACTCTTAGGTGGATTAAGTAGAATCTACAATGGCCTGGGCATAATTTAATTTCTTAGAATGATGCACAGGGTAACATCCAGATAGTTACAATGTGAGTTATTTGGACTGTGTAGAAATGGCACCTGAAGCCTACTGATTAGTTATGAAAATGCTAGTTTTAGCACTGGGCAATAATGTCTGATGAGATCAAGGAGAACTAACTCCCTCGGTCAAAGTGGATATATGCCCGCTAATATTCTTGAGTGGATTATGCTGGGGATACTTTTCTTAAGATTGTGTCGTATATTTAGTAGTACTAATTCCTCGGAGAATTCACAGGGTGTAGTCTAATATCATTGAGGTTACATGTACTGGATTCTGATTCAATGGGTAAATCGAATCCACAACGCAACTGAATCATGATCATAGGCCGGTTCTCTTTATGTATTAATTCAAAATTTTATATCATCGAACTTATTATTGCTATTGAAACACTACTTTGCCTTTAGCTGTTTTCAGCATATAGTTTTGGGGAACCCGACAAAAGCCGAGATTGGAGTGCCAGACTCTATCTTCTGCTGGAACCGTGGTTGCCGCACCCTTGCTCGCCCAACCCCGTTTTTCTCCACTACTAGACAGTACAGATCTTAGCACATAGTGGGCTTTTACATGGTGCAGAGGAAAGAACCTTTTTCAGGAATAGCATGAGTGATGCTGAGTGGTGGAAAATACTGCGATTGAAAGACATCGAATCTCTGACAATGCTCGCGGATGTAAACAAGGCCCACGAACTAATAGAAAGAAAGGCCTCATTTTTAGACTATTAATAGGAGTGATTTCGGTAAAAAAGACCATTCGAAGTTTTCCTGGATCGTAGATGTTAGGTACTGATAGAGGTTTGTACGCTTACCCTGATTCTGTCTCCAATGATGTTTATTCTAGTCAATCGACTCACAATCAATATCAGTTTCAGCTGAGTACCAGGATTATGTGCCCGAAAGTTCCCAGATACCATAGGGCAGGATGAGTGAATTGATAGTGATCATAGACTTGAATACTTGCACAATGGAAGGTTGAGCCGTTGTCTCCCAGGAAACGAACCCATTGTTCTCGACCAGTAGATTCCGTGTCCTTCTAGAGCTTCCCTGATACTACAAAAGTAACCAAGGATTCACCGTCATGAATATTCATGCCATCCAGTATCGTCATTGCTTCGCCGATACCATTTCTTGATCTTATTATCTCATCCCGAAGAGAATTACTTTCCAGCATAATGGCTTTCATTTGCCGGCGAAGGCTGTTAACCACAGAGCAAAGGCCTTTTCCATCGCAAAGCAATTCGTGCAACTGCGCACTTGTGTGATTGCAATGTACAGTACTTGCTGATCCTCAATTGTGCTTTCAAGCATGTGGATCTTGGCCGTAAATTAGATGCATGAACTGATTGGGTCACTAACCTGCCAGTCATTGTTGATCAGTCTATAGAATCTCCGTACAGTACATATCGACCAACAGAAATTAACCCTACCCCACCTCATCCCCAATCTAACATCCACCATCTACCTTGTGCCAGGGACGGCAGACGCGCTTCAACTGCCGAGGATAGGATGTTCAACACCTGGAGAAGCGCCTGCAAGCATGTCTACTTACCAATCACTATACCATAAGGACCCGCTATGATGTTGACACCTGAGATGACATATGCTGATAGGAATCCTGTATGGGCTTCAAGGACGCACAGAATGAGCTAGAGTATGTAGTTTTAGATCAGTGATAGTTGCCATTTCGGTTCAGTCACCGGGAGTTGATGAATTGTGTGTGTAGAGTTATCAGACACAAGAACTGTACTGTAAGTCTCTTTAAAAAAGATATTCTATACTGTAAACAAGACGCATCTGTAAGTATCGATTTATGGTTTACGTTTAGGCTGGTATTTCATCAACTAGTTTGTAGTTTTTCATGACGACATCTCTTTTAAGTGCGTACATTCGGCGGTGGCTCACTTCTTGAAGACGCAATGGGGGCCTCTTGAATACCTGTCGTGGCATAACAGCAGCTCTAACGCCATTATTAACTTGGCTCCGTAATTCGTGACCTCTGAACTCCTGTGATGCTCAATCAAAATCCGAAACGACCCTTCTTTCGTCTGAGCCTCGCTACGGAGTCGAAACAAGGTTAGATTTCAACCAAAGATGTATGGATATTATTCAAGATTGATGACCTCTGTACTGTATCAAGGGGACTCTTTTGGCATCTAATAATTCTACTATGATAATCTCAACTTAGTGTATCACTCAGACGTAATCATATTCACAGAGTTTTAGCCAGCATATACATAATGTTAGAAAGATGGCATTGTCGAGGTGGCTGGATTGTTCAACAAACGCAGTAGTACACCTTCAAGAAAAATGCGGGAGATTGTATGAATTGAAAAAATTCCTTCCCCGAGTAGTTGGGTTATGAACAACTACTCCTTGCTCCACTTCGGAGAGGCATAACCCTGCGCTGTCCCTTACGAGGCATTGTACTCTTCTCCCACTATAATGCCAGCAAAACATAGCTGCCGGCCGACCAGGTGCTATAATTTCGGCAAATTGCGGGATAGTCCTGTCTTGATTTCCATCAACCTCACCAGCAGCCGGTAACTATTGCATCTTTTTGGGCTTCGCAATGGAGGCCAACAAGGCGCTTCAGTCTACTAAGGTTCGGTATCCGTTGTCTAGTAGAAAACATATCTAAAAACCTCTAGGTTTCTAGGCTCGGAAACTGTTAGCCTTCGCACCCCATCGAGCTCTGAAACATGGAAAATCCATCGAAAGCTCTTAGTGTTGAATGCAAAGCTTTAGAATCTGCTTTTTCTCACGACGTACCTCTGAACAGTACACATTCAACGAAAGAACCCATGATACTGTTGCACGTTTCATCGAATGGGCATACCGGTCAGCTATCGCATGATGGAATCTTTAAACCCAGCCAATAAACCTTCTTGGAATATCAAATTGTCAAAATATCGTTCTCGATGCTCGCGCTGACGAGTATTATGCCTATGAAGACTAGTGGAAAAGGGGAAGCATGCACGAGATCAAGCTCTCATTTCTTCAATACTATAGCAATATCACGCTCTCGTGACATTCGCCAACTTCAAATTTGCTTAGTGCAACAGGAATTGATTCTGAAGATGCTGCCGGATCCTTGGGTTTAACCAGCCTATCCTAAATTTACAAATTAATTGATTCGGCGATGCACCTTTGTAGTTATCTAATCTAATACTTTCAAGTAGACTTATGTGGAAATAACACAAAGCCGAAAGCGAAAACTCCAGTAAACATTAAATCAACCACAGAACATTTGATTATCTAAGCTAATCCCGAATATGATTTTGGTCTTTACACGTATTAGTTCATCCGTTCGGTAAAAAGGCTTGTCGTACTCAAAGACCGCTTGTCGAGTAGCTTTTGGTAGTGGAGATTCACTCCCAGTCTATCTAAATTCGCCCAATATCCGAGATTAGTGAAATTTTGGAATACGGATTCACTGATATCTAAATCTGTGATACTGCACCCCAGGCATTTATCAACAACCCGAACATCAATAACCTGTTCGTTGTAGGCATGCTTAGTGTTTGCACGTCTGAAGGGCACCAACCTGAGTGCTCGATCTTGAGGTAGCTGAGGACTCGATTGGGAATCCTAAAATTCGTCGATTTGATGGATATTATGGAGATAGTTTTTTGTTGTGTCAGTCATTATGGTGATATCTGGCAGTCTGCTAACATGGATAATGAACTTTTCAAGACGTAATCAATAAAAAAAGAAAATGATTGCGTGCTTGCTCAAAATAAATACAGTAACCGGGTACTCTTTTTCGCTCTAGAAAGTTGATTGGCGGTGATTTCTTACCCCTCACAGATACAGATCTGAGTGCTAGTCATTCCCTACCAAAGCAGTACCAGTGGAAGTAGTATATTTGAGGATCGTCTGTATCATCTGATCTGGATTCAGAGGCTTTGACAGGTAGCAGTCCATTCCCGCCTCAATACATCTCTCGCGGTCGCCAAACATAGCATGGGCGGTGAGAGCAATAATCGGCATGCGTGGGAGATTGAACGAGTGTTCATGCTCCCGAATTTTGGCGGTGGACTCAAACCCACCCATGACTGGCATTTGAATATCCATCAAGACCGCATCAAATTTCCTTTCTTTGACTTGCACGAAGGCATCCAGGCCATTATCGACCACAGTTACATAGTGATTGTGCTTCTCAAGGATTTTGAGAGCTACTTTCTGGTTGACCTCGTTGTCCTCGGCCAGCAGGATTGATAAAGAATATGTCTGGCCTTTGGTGATTCGGGACGGCCGGCTCTCGAACGCGGGAAGTATGCCATTCCCAAGGTCGATCAAATGACAGGGATTTGTCACATATGAGGTGATGCACAAATCTAGTGCCGCCTTCATGCTTACTGATATCGCAGGTCCTATTTGGACGGCAGGAACCGATTTAAAGTCATCCAAGGCTCTTAAACCAATTAAGGTCTCCATAACCTCAAAAATGACAACTTCAGCTTGCAGAACTTCTCTCATTTGGAAGTGGTCAGCACTGATCTGCGCCAGTACGCGGATGGTGGGACTCTTAATGGGAAGAAGCTTGAGTTCCGCTAATATGTGGCATATCTGTTCCGAACGATCCTCGTTACAGCCCTCAATAAGAAGAAGGACTCCGTGGCCTTGGTAAGGCATTAACCGCTGGGACATAGCTTCAGGAGACAAACCTCCTCGCTTAACGGTGCATGTAAAATGGAAGGTGCTGCCTGAACCCACATCTGATGTGACCCATATATCGCCATCCATGAGGTTCGCTAGTCTCTTTGATATTGACAGGCCAAGGCCTGTGCCACCGAACCTTCGGGTCGTTGAACCGTCAGCTTGCTGAAACTTGTCAAAAACCAAGTCGAGCTTGCTATGATGTATACCAATTCCGGTATCTGAAACAGTGAACTCAAGGCGACATTCATCAAAATCACCTTCTCTTGGCTCCTGTTGCTTCACAGTAAGTTGGATCTCTCCATGCTCGGTGAATTTGATGGCGTTCCCGATCAGGTTCAGAATGATTTGTCGGAGGCGGAAAGAATCTCCGACAATGAAGTCAGGCACAGAGTTGTCAACCATGTAGGTGAGACTTAGTGCCTTTTCATTGGCTTCAACCCCAAGAGCCTTCAGAGCGTTAAAGACTATATTGCCAAGACTGAAAGGAATATCTTCAATAACGACATGGTTTGCTTCAATCTTTGAGATATCAAGGATGTCATCGATGATAGTGAGCAGGCTATTCCCAAGGCCGTGCACAACATTTAACATCTCTCTTGCGCCTGGTTGAAGATCGTCTGTGTCAAGAGTCAACTGCGTCATACCAATGATACCATTCATTGGCGTTCGGATCTCATGGCTCATATTAGCAAGGAATTCCGATTTGCTTCTGTTAGCGAGTTCGGCTGCTTCTCTTGCCGCAGTGTTGCGCTGAATACTCTCGCGTAGATTCGAGACCATCTTGTTAATCTTTTGCTTGAGCTCGTCCATCTCCCCAGATGCACTGACTGTGATCAATTTGCTGAAATCTCCGTCCGTAGCTGCATTTGTGATCTCTCCGAATGCACGAACCTGGGAAGTCAAATTGTCGGCCATGATATTGACATCCTCGGTGATCTCTTTCCATCGACCGCCCATGCCGGCGATGCTAGCCTGCCCTCCCATTCTTCCCTCCACGCCAACATCACGTGCGACCCGCTTGAGTTCTTGAGCGAACTGGTCCAGTTGATGTACCATATCATTGATTGTTTCTTTCAATGTCAAAATCTCCCCCCCGGGCATGGACCACTATCTTCTTGCTTAAATCCCCTCTAGCAATACCCTGAGTAACTTCTGATATCGCTCGGACTTGGGAAGTCAGGTTCTGAGCCATTGTATTCACGTTGTCTGTCAATGTCTTCCACTCGCCCTCGACATTGGCGACAACAGCCTGGCCGCCGAGTGTTCCGTCAATTCCGACTTCACGTGCAACTTTGCTGACCTCAAATGCAAATTGGTTCAGGCGATCAACCATGTCATTTATCGTATGCTTCAGGTCCGCAATTTCCCCTTTGACATTAGCAGTCACCTTTTTCGTAAGATTACCCCTGGCCACAGCCGTGGTAACATCTGCTATCTCTCGCACCTGGGTGGTAAGGTTCATTGCCATCCCGTTGACATTCTCTGTCAAGTTCTTCCAAACCCCTTCAACATCGTGAACTGTCGCCTGACCCCCGAGAACGCCATCTGTGCCAACCTCTTTCGCTATCTTCGTGACTTCCTGCGCGAATTGTCGGAGTTGGTCGACCATCGAGTTGATAATTTCTTTCAGAGCAAGTATTTCGCCTTTGCATTCAGCTTGAACCTTCTGTGTGAGGTCTCCGGTTGCGACTGCAGTTGTTACCGTGGCGATATCACGAACTTGTGTTGTCAAGTTATTCGCCATGGCATTGACATTGACAGTGAGCTCCTTCCATATTCCCTGGATGCCGTAGATTTGTGCTTGTCCACCAAGGACGCCTTCAGATCCAACATCTCGCGCAACACGATTGACCTCCATGGCAAATGTACGAAGTTGGTCCACCATCGTGTTAATGGTCTGCTGGAGATTGAAAATCTCGCCTTTGGCAGGCCGTTCAATTTTCTGACTCAGGTCGCCGTGAGCGACCGCTGTAGTAACAAGGGCGATCTCACGGACTTGGTCTGTGAGATTGGATGCCATGACATTTACGTTATCGGTGAGCTCCTTCCAAACGCCATGTACCCCGACGATCTGCGCCTGACCGCCCAGTATACCGTCTGTGCCCACCTCTCGTGCCACTCGGGAGACCTCGCTCGCGAATACCTGCAACTGGTCCATCATTGTGTTGATCGTAACTTTGAAAGTCGTAATGTCAGGATTCATCTCGAGTGGATGGATCTGGACTCTCGTGGAAAGGTCTCCATCCGCGACTTGAGTAATGATTCCTCCGATTTCCTTGAGCGCCTTTTGGAAAGCTTCATTCGTCTGCTGGCGCTTTTGCACCTCTTGCTCCATACCCTGGAGGTGATTGAAACGACGGATCAGTGATGGAAGTAGGTGCTCCAGTTCCGTCCTTGGCTTGCTTTGTGGCCCTGGCAGTCTCCATAATGCATTGTCTCGCAGGATCTTGGAAAAGTCAGCTCGGAGGAACGAACAAGCCTTGTATTCAGACTTGCCAATGTTTGATTGCCTTGAATAAGTTCTTGGAGAACTGCGGCTACCGCAGAAAGCGTCTCGTCTTTTGAGGACATCGTCACTTGGGGATGACCGGGCCGCGAATCTTCGATGAAATCAACCATGATCTTGGTTATGTATAGCGGGAGTCAATCTCTCCGCAGAGAGATAAAATCCAGTGATGAGACTAAGTCGAATGCTAATTCTTATGGCTTTCAACTAGAAAATACCACGTCCTCTTATAATCTAGGCCAGAGAGACGTCTCTTTGAGCGAATGAGACGCGGTTCAATAGATGCACTGGGAAGGTGATACACTCAGGTGGGCCCTTCAGCTTTTTTACGTTTTTCGTAGCATCACTTGTAAGGGAGGCCTGATGTTGTTCCGTGGCTACAGTATTCCCCATTTTGACACTTGATGTGTCTTTCTCCAGTGTGGTGCGTCTGCATCGCCTCTGCAAATTACGACAAATAGGCTTTGAGAATTGTGGGAGCAGTCGACCTAGAAGCACGCCACGCGCCCATCAGGCAAATTTTGCCGAGCCATCACCGCCGAAGCTTAATTTCGCACTAGAGAGAATTTCTTGGAACAGAAATGTACGTCCAATCAGGTCCATGGGTAGTTGTCTGAATTGTTATGCCTGTACCCATACAAACCTGTATGGGTGTGAACATGACTAATCTCGGCTAGTCTATAAACAGCAAACTAATACACATCCTGACAATACTGAATCTCCACCGATACTGACAGAATTCGAATTTTCTGTCAACCCCTCGCATTTTATCGGACGCTGTGGACAAGCGAAGGATATTGTTATGATACTGGCGGAGTGAACGATTCTTTTACAACCATTAGTCCTACGTAACGCTGAACTTTTGATAAATTTCCAGTCTCATTTAGACTTTATGGGGAAGGAATGCTAACAGTGATTTCATGGAACCTTGATTACGGTTGACAGGTCATACTGTTACACCGAGTATCCTTGAAGTTTGGTGTCGCGTAAAAGACCTAGAATGATTGGTCTAGGTGAGAAGGAGTATGAAGTGCCTTACTGTTTACTGTCTCCTCCCCCCCAGCGATGATGCTGTTCAGGACCTCTCCGTATTAATTCATCGACCCTTTGTCAACAGTGAACTACTCTAAGCTATTTGTTAGTCAGGTCGGTCCGCTCCAACAGCTAGGCAGCGGATCACACCTTCTCGAGAAGCAGCGAAAAACCCACGTAAAATCTGCAACCGCATTCACCTCTTCCTCCCCCGTTATTCAACCTGTAAGCTGAGGTGGACTCGTTCGGAGATGTCTCAAACTTAGGGCAATGCTCCAGCATGATGGCATGCAGACGAGACCTGTCTACTAATAGATTCTATGACTGATGCAACGTGTGTGGTGCTACTGCACACGAATGTCTGGTCCGCTCATCCACTATGCAATTGCCACATCCGCATAGCTATATTGCTATTTCGAGGAAACGGCATGTCTACGCATCGACAATTAAGCTCTGCTTGCCAGTCGTCCTACGGCACAGAGCCGAAAATTAAACGGAAAGACGCATCAACAGGTAGACAAAGGCTCCCAGGATACCTTCCCTGCAGTAGGGGTACAGCCGTATTTTCTGATCAGTCTATCTCAATCACCTGCCAATCGATTGCGAAGTCAACAGTGTTCCGGCGACAAGGCGCACTCAGCGACAGGGGCTGGAAAAGCTCCGGAGAGCGAACGACGGTAGGAAAAAAAAACCGTGTAGGCCGAAAAAATGGATGTTGGCACGCGGTCTGACGCGGTTACACACACACACACACACACACACACAATTCATTAACGCCCGGCGGCTGAACCGAAAGGGCAATGTCATCTCAGATGTCAATATCTTAGCGGGTCCTTGTGGGTTAGTATTTAGTGAGTAGACTTGCTTGAAGGCGCTTCTCCAAGTGTTCAACATCCTATCCTCGGCAGCTGAAGCGCGTCTACTGTCTCTGGCACAAGGTAGTTGGTGGGGCTTAGATTGGGGATGGGGTGGGGTAGGGTTAATTTGTGTTGGTCGATATGGCTAAGCGGTGTCGAGCCGGCCCGTGGCGATTGCAAAACGTATTGTGGCTCACACTGCTTCTAAGTTCGGCTTCCAGTTCTGGTCATCCAAAGGCGATTTTCCACCCAGGAAAAAAGATATGTTGCCTCGGTGAGTGTGGGTACATTGCAGCATCTCCGTCAGGTGTATAATCCACTTCCGACATCGAAAGAGGAAGTGATCCATGGTCTCTCTTGCTTGTCCACATGCACATTGATCTGTCTCTGCGACATTGATCCGATAGAGGTATCCATTGAGTCTGGCCATGCCAGTCCGGAGGTGAGCCAGACGCTCGCTTCTTTCCACGATAATATATCATACAACTGCCGAGTGTGTTTTCCTGGGAGTGCTGCATCCACTATTTTGGCGTGTCGCCCTACGTTCTCTGGTAGGCCTTTGCTAGTGGCTGTTTGGGATCGTGCGATGTTCAGGTTTGTTGACTTCACTCGGGGGACCTGTGCTTGCGAGGTAGCATCCTCTTGCGTTGCGGTTCTGGCTGCTCTTTCGCCAGGCCCAGCAATCGGTCATCTCTGCTAATCTGGACCCAACAGATGTTGATCTGGTTTCCGTACCTCTGTAGCCTTTGAATCAATTTTAATATCTGGCAGATGTGTTCCTGGCACGACTGCTGTCGGGGATTCTTCAGCGTGAGTGCCGCCGCTTTGTTGCTCGTGAGCAGCGTGACTCTGCACCGCTTCAGTCCCCGTAGCGTGCTCAATTCGTATGCCATTGCTGCCAGCTGCCCAGAGTAGGGGGTTCTGTTCTGCTCCTGGGCCCAGTGTAATGGAGAAGGTCTTCAGTCTCGGTTTTCGATACCGAGGTGGCTGTTTCTCAATTGCCACGCCAAATGACTCCGCCCGCTTCGGTCTGTGTCTCCGGTAAATCATGACCATCACTCTGCACCCGTTCCTCCCATGGTTCCAATGTGAATGGATTGATGGTTTCCAGTTTTCCAGTGTTTCCGTCTCGATTCTTTTCAGCGTGTCTGCGACAATGGAGAACGGTGGTTTTTCTGAATTTCTTGATATGAACTGTACTCCTGCGGAGGAGATTGCTTACTGGTAGGGTGTGCATGTCTGTCAACATCTTCGCAGCTCGTCTCCAGAGCCGGTGTTTCACCGTGACAATGTGAGCCTCCGCTTCCGCTACGCCGGTCGCAACTGCGAGGAATGGCCCGACAATCGCTTGCGCTCCTACCCTTTGTACTCTGTTGATCGGCCCGATGTTTTTATTTTTGAAAGCGTGCATCCAGTCATTGGAGGCATAGTCCACCACCGGGGCCACCGTCGAGGTGAATAACTGCTGTGCTGTTGCTGAGGTTAGACCTCGAAGTCGTCGAAGCTCCATCGCTGCCTCCAGGCCCTTGGACCCTGCTCTCGCGATGTGTTCTTTGTATTTGAGTCTCGTATCCATTATGACGCCAAGAGTCTTAAGGTGATCTCTGGGTTCAATAAATTAAGCCCTTTGCCGATATATGTACTTCTGAAATCGAAGAGGAAGGATGTGATTCACCGCCTTCATCATAAGTACCCCTAAGCGGGCTAATTATAAGGTAAAGATTGACCCATCGTCCCTCGTGGTGTCACACATCGTGACCTTGAAACTTCAGTCTGCGGTGAATTCTACATGTGACTGAAAAAACGAAAACAGCAGAACCGGCAACATATATTTAATCAAAGCGGTCATTTAATGGTAGCCACTGCGAAAATTGGGCGCGGCCTCTGAAGGCCTCGGATGTCAATACCCTATAATTGAAAGCCCCCTGATGCTATTTGTTGCCTTTAGCATCGGTATTTGAATCTTTCAATGCGAATTTATAAGTTAACTGAGGATAATCGATAGATAATTATGAAATTCAACCGTCGGTCAATCCTTTTTATGATATACCCCGCGCATATTGACTCTTGTTCTCAATCACTTCTACCCCAATTGGAGTCTGTAATTCTGTGATACAGATTTTCTTCCGATTTGATACTGATTGAGAGGCAGGTGGCTGTATTACAAAGAGTCTGATAAAAAGCCATTAAGGTTGAGTAATATCTGTGGAAAGTTGACGACATATATAGTGTGTACTAGGTCGTGGAAAATATCGGAGCGGGAAAGCTCGCTATGATTAGGCAGGTCTTACGAGTTTGGATTAGATGGCTATTGGGGATACATAAAAGTTTGACTGCATGTAAGAAATCCTGGTTTCATTGACAGAGCTTTCAGTAACATCAATCCAAATCCTGACATCAAAGTCATCCACTCATTATTCAATCCCCATGTGTTGAGAATATTACTTGAGACTAATAGATACTCTCAAGACTCACCAACACACGACGACTACGTGCTGTTTAAACTGTCTCATCATCTGTTATTGATTTCGCATAACCATTTCTTTCTTTGATGAATTCGGAGGTTTCATTCCAGAGGGCAATTCTTGAAATATTCAACTTCGTATGCATGCAGCCAAAAATCACTCCAGATTCATATTGAGTACTTCTAAAACGACATCATCGTCGCCTGGTGCGCAAGTAAAATGTGGCTGAGTAGCCATTTTTTCGTCCTCAATTGCTCTGAAAGTTTGCTTACAGGAGCGTAGAAAATCAATAGTTCAATGGCTGTTTCGTTTACGTAATTCATCGTGAAGGTGGAACTTTGAGATATGTTTTCAAAGACAATCAAACTAGCTGTATTCGGAGGCTGGTATCCTGTAATCAAACTTTAGGCAGCCCATAAATTGGTTTCCACCCAGAAGATGTTACTTCTTTATCACATAGTGGAATAAAGGGCGG